AATTCGACTTCCTCTCTTGCATCGGTGCCTTCTTTGGCGTCTTGTTCGCTTCCGTTGAGATTGGCCTCCTCGTTGCGGTATATATATATACGCAAAAACTGTATGTTTATGTTCGGTCTGAATTGTGTATATATATATATGGGGTATTGATTGTCTTTTTGTAGGTTGTGATCTCGTTTGCAAAGATCATTCTCATATCGATACGACCAGGGATCGAGACTCTCGGGAGGATGCCCGGGACGGATATATTTGCCGATACAGATCAGTATCCTATGGCGGTTAAGACTCCTGGTGTGTTGATTGTTCGCGTTAAATCCGCGTTATTGTGCTTTGCCAATGCTAATTTCATAAGAGAAAGGTATACATATATATATATATATATATATATATATATATTATAGCATTTTTTGTTTTGGACATAATTAAGCCATGGTTCTTGGAGCAAAGTTTAAAGATTTCTTTTACGTGTTTAGGATTGTGAGATGGGTGAATGAGGAATTAGAAGAAGAAGGGGGAGGAGAAGAAGACAAGAAGGGCAATATGCAAAAGAACATTCTCCTCGTAGCTCTTGACATGTCAAGTAAGTAATATAGATATAATATTAATTCATTTGTTATATAATCTATATTTTATTAACGTTCTTGTGCACATAATCAAAGTGGATTCTCATAAGTTCACGTGCATGTTGTTGTCGTCAATAGATTTGATAAATATCGATACTTCGGGGATTGAGGCTTTGGTGGAACTCCATAACAATCTTACCAAATACGGGGTTGAGGTGAGGCCACTATAACTTAGTTTTTTTTAAATATTCGTTTCATAAAAATTCGTTCTTCGAAAAAAAAAATGCTAAGTATGTCGGTTTTGAAAATCAAATTTCAGCTGGCGATCGTAAATCCGAAATGGGAAGTGATTCACAAGCTGAGTCAAGCGAAGTTCGTGAGCAGAATTGGCGGGAAAGTCTACGTGACCATTGGGGAAGCCCTAGATGCATGCATCGGGTTAAAAGTTTAATTAGAAATAAATAAATTATATATATGTATTGTTAGTTTCGGTGTGTAATGTATGTGAACTTGGTATTGCTTACCTTGCGAGCATGATGATGTATTGTAGCTAGGTGTATCGTCATGCGCATGCCATATGGTACGTAACCTTAGGCATGCTAAATAAAAGCCATGCACGCTATTGTAACAAAGTTGGTGTTTGTATTATGTCACGACGTGTGTCAAGTTCGTGTTATAAATTTATTAGTGTGGCCCTCTAATAAACAAAATGCTATTTTAATTATCGGTGTGCATTTTTTTTTTCACTAAAAATAGAACGGATTAATATATTAGATTTGCCATTCGATAATTTCTTTGTTCATAGATACATACCAAAGGCAAAGGGTATATCCCATTGTTTCTATATACACACACACACTGCATGGGATTGCCGTATGTGCTAGTATATATGGATGTATTTATGCGGTGTTCTTCGTTATGATTTCTCTAATAGAACTCTTGATGATTATCAACGAGGCGTTACGTTTTTATATGTGAATTTTTAATTCAATTTAATCTAAATAAAATCAATACCTATTTGATATTCTGTATCATCAATAATGAAACTATGGTATCTAATATTAATATCACCAAAACAAAGTTCACAAAACGTCCAAACTAGCTAGTTACGACTTACGAATCTTCGTACCAACCAAATAAGTGTCGGCTATAGAATTTTGTTGGCTTGTGTATTATTAAATAATTAAACGAGTTTAAATATCCAATCGTAGTTTTCCCTTTATAGAATTTTCGATTCATATCAGAAATAGATAAACTTAACCAAATAAAAAATATACTAATATCTAAACTCTATACGAAATTCAATTAACGTTGAATATCGTTATATTTTCCATCCATTAAAAGGTAACGGAAAATACAATATTAGATATCGTTACTTTACAGTAATAGAACTAAAATTTGTAAAAGAAAAAAAAATAAAACCATTTAAAATGAATTTATATATGGGTGAAATCATGGAGAATCTATGACGAAAAAAATATAGAATTATATTTCTAAACACAAATAAACTATGTATTATCCATTAAAACATTCTAGAAACCCTAATACGAGATGACGGAAAAACGTCTAGGTTCAATGTGTAATAAGATTGGCTCAGTGGGGAATCACTTTGAAAAGTCTTAATTGATGTCTCACAAAGTGCGTCGAATTATTTGATAATTTTAATGATGTTTCCCCCATTTTTCACAGTTTAATACAGTTTTTAGTTCGTCCTTTTTAATGGGAACTACTGTTTGGTTCACAATCTTCTCGAGATTCTTATTCCATATATGCGTCTAGGTTCATTGTACCTAATATCACTATAAATTTCTCTGATTAGGGTTTTATGATATGATATGATGCGCATGACGATAGCACGTAATTATTGTAACAAAGTGAGAGCATTATAACACTTCAACTTGAGTATGTATTGCAGGACCATGAGTATTCATCATACAAGTTTTTTCTGGTGACCCAACAGCTTGTGGGCGAGTTATCAGTAGTTGGGTGCAAAACATTTAGAGGTTGGCGGTTCGATTCTTGGTTGGGGAAGATTTTCACATGGGTTGCCCCGATCCTCTGGAAGATGTAGTTGGACTAAAGACCCGATGAACTTCCAGATTATCAAAAAAAAAAAAAAAAATTCTCGTGATACTGTGTACATATATACAATTGGAGACATGAGTATATCTAATTTTTTTTAGGTAGATCATACCTAATCATGGAATACAGAAGAAATCATGCTCAATTTCTTTCTCCAATTTGGAACCCAAACTCGGGGTGGGAAGTATATCTAGGTTGACACACTAAAATTAATTTTAATTTTTTAAATTACTCTACATATAAAAAGATAATAAAAATAAGTGTTATTATCGTATGTATATTTCTAATGAAACCAAATTACTCTAACCTAATGTCTCTAGAATAATAATCTCTCCTACGCTCTTGTTGGTGCAAAATGATTATTTGCTTTCCACATAATAAAAATAATATTATATTTAAAATCCAAGAATCAAAAGGCCGAAAGGGAGTAGAATTCGAAGCGATATAGAGAAATTGGACAATCTTTTGTACATTTCCACAATGAGAAAAAGTCAAAATACAATATAGTTTTCAATGTTAAAAAGTACACATAAAATACGATCCTTCATTCACGGAAAAATAATAAATTGTGTAAATACCGACGATGAGAAGACAAAACGCCGTTAATATAACGTCAAGTTGATTCGACTTGCTAATATATTCTTTTTTTTATATTATTTTTTTGGTAATTTTTTTTATATTAATTTTTTGCAACAGTTGTTCTGTCAAAAAGAATATATATCTTATTGTTAGAGGGTGGTGTCATTTGTTAGAGGGTGGTGATGACACCACCGAGATTCTCGAATTTATATAAAATATGAATTTAATATTCCTTTTGAAATCATTGTAATTAACTTTACAATTAACAAATTGATTCGACGAATCCAATAAAAAAAAAATCCTTTGAAAAAAACTCATACATGCTCTCGTGGTGTTATATTATCTTATAATGGGCTATAAAGCCCATATGGTAAAGGAATTAAATGGGCTATATGGGCCCCTATGGAATAAAAGCCCATATAGTAAAGAAGAATAAATGAGTTATCTGATAATGGGCTCATATGGTAAAGTCATACGTGCTATATTTGGGCTCATGAATAAAGCCCATGATTGAGTTAAGGGCCGAAACCGGTGGAAGAGGGAACCTGAATTATCATAATTTTTTAATTAAGAAAACGAATTCTAATAAATGATTTAGAAAATAATCACTATTTTTTTTAAATGGACTTGGTAGTAGAAATAACTGACATATAAAAACTAAACAAATGTAACTTTTATAAAACGAAAATAAACCAAAACATAATCAAAATTCGAATTAAATTTTAAATATACTAAATAGCATTGAAGGAAGGGTGGTTTATACATGTACTTTAAACTAATTTAAAAAGGAAATTAAATCAACGAGAGGATCTAAAGAGTTGATTGATCTGCTTTACACGCTTTGGAAGATAGGGTTCACTCCACATTGGAATATTATATGGACCGTCCTCAGATAAAACAAGAGAGGGTGAAGTTTCATTGGATGAAAACATGTATACACCCACTTTTTCACTTTTCATATGTTATGTACATCTCTTTATTGAATATTTTTTTGGGTAAGATATGAATCTTTACAGCTTTTTATTTGGTAGGATCTGAATCGGATAACTGTAACAATTTTTTTTTTTATTCAGTTTTAGATAATTCTCATTATTTATCTAGAAAATTCAATTAACATATAACAAGATATTAAATTGGCCCACGAAATTATATTTAGTCGAACATGGGTCACAATCTAGGCTTTGAATGGTAGTGGTTTTTTTTTTGAGTTTTTGGTTTTTGGTTTTGTAAATAAAAAAAATGAGTTATTTAGTTTTTAGTTGATTTTTTTATTAATATTTCAAAAAAATTTATTTTTGAAATACAAACTCTAAAAACTTCGTCCATTCAAAAGGATAATTTACATTAAAGAATTTAAGAATAGGAAACATGGATATTTTGCATTGATTTATTAAATAATATACGGGCTTTGTTATTGGGTAACCGCACCATTTTAAAAAAAGTAAGAATTAGAAAGTGGTGTCCCTTCAGAATCTTCAATGGAGGTCAATGAATATTCAAATTTCTCTCTTTTCTTGACGAACCTATTTTTTTTTTAAACTTACAAGTTTTTTATAAATAGTTTTATCCAAATTTCTATTTTTGCAAATTTTAATATTTAATTTTTTTTAAAAAAAATTGATTAATCAAACACTCAACATAATAGATTACAAAACCAATATAAACACACCTACGATTATATGACGAAAATTTGATGAAATTTTGATTTTTGAATGCAACGACGTTAATTTTTTTTTTTTTTGATAATCTGAAAATTTATCGAATTTTTTGTCCGACTACATCTGTCATCCCAAACTTCCAAGTTCCAACACACATGAACAGTCGTCGATAACATCTTTTTTCAAAATGCAAAAAAAAAAAAAAAAAAAAAAATTATGTGCCAATGGAATTTGGATGATAACCCAAAATTAATGGCAAGAGCCGTTATTATTTCGTGGATCCGGCGGCTCTTAGTGATCTCCAAAAGTTTAGTTTTATCGAAAAAGAATATTCACCACTATAATTAATTATATTTCCCCAGCCCATTGGAATATGGTATAATGTCCAAACGTGAAATTTGTCGCTCGCCACACACATATATAATTATATATATAACAGAGCGTCTGTGTATGTATAGATAAACACACATTCATTCATCAGCCTCCCCTTTCTGTTTCTTACTTGTTCTCCCACTCTCGTTTCTGGTTCGTTGTCTTCATTACCAGCTTATGGGTGCTGCCGGAGATATCTGTTCTTCTCTGAACTGCGAACTCAAAATCTTACAAGCAAGAAACGTGGAGATAAATTCACCATCTAATCTCTTCGTCAGATTCTACCTCTCTGCAGGAAACAACAGAAAGATCGAGCTAAACTCTGAAGAAATCTGTACGGAATCAGATTTCCTCGTCTGGAACCAATCTTTCTCTCTGGGATGCCAAGGAAGCGAAGCCGCCATCGAAGAGCTGAAGCAAGAAGGCATCGTTTTCGAGCTCCGGCGAAGAAAACCGTCGTCGTATTTCAGAAAGTTATCGAGATCGGAGCTGGTGGGTCGGGGCGAGGTTTCATGGAAATCCGTTTACGAGTCTAAGGGCTTGGAAATGGAGAGATGGGTCGTGATGGGTCCGGCGAAAGATCGGATTTTGGAAGACGGGAAGCCTCCTTCGTTGAAGATATATTTGAAGGTCGAAGCTTCACAAATGGCGAAGGAGAAAACGGAGAAGAAGAAACAGAGATATTCGGAAGATCTCTGTGGGTGTGGTAGAGATTGTGAAACCTGCAATTGTGCAGATTATGAAGCTCTCTTCTTGGTCGTATAGTTTGTACGATTTTGAACACCAAACAGATACATAAAACTAAAACAGCATCGATAAATAGTCATATATATATATAGAAACAGAACATAACACTGCCTCAATGTCACAGGACCATCTCACAACGTTTTATTAAGAAAACAAACCAAAAGAAACTAAGAACGAGACACGAAACAGGAGATGAACCTTCCTCTTGATTGGTCCTGGCAGCTGAGTTTAGGTTTTTTCAAGCATCTCCATGTCCAATAAGGGCAAGAAGCATGTCCTCGTAGTCACCAGAAGTGTCTTTGGCTATGGCCCGGTCCAGTGGAACACTGTTCCTGCGAAGGTACTCCTCCTTGATCCGTTCCATGTCAACCTCTGCTCGTGTAGTGACCACTCGGGTCAGAGCCCACTCGTCTGTTCCCATCTTGTTGATGGCTTGACGCAAAAGCTTCTCGAAATGCTTCTCGGGGTATGTCAAGCACTTGATCGCTGCCCTGAGTAGTATTTGGTATTCGCTTTCCGGATCCTCCTTCAGGTTCTACGACAAGGGTTTCTCTCCAAAATCAGATATCCGATATCAGAAACCGAATACGAATAACGGGTTTTGCGCAAAATCCTACCTTGTTGATGGCGTTCCCATACTCGTTGTTGTAATGGTTGAGTGTTGCACCGAGCTGCGCCTTGCTCCTCGTGGTCAGGATCCTGATGAAGTCGTCATCACTGTAAGCCTTCTCCGAGATCTTCTCGTGAAGAATCTTGGCCTCGGACCTAGCCAGCATCATGTTCACCTCATCTCCCTCGTACCTGAACGTGCTCACAAGAGGAAGCAGAAGCTGCAAGAACATAGGACAGCCGCCATTATTTACATCACAGAAACAAGCAACTGGTTTGATGATTTGGTATATATGCATACACATATACATTACCTTCCTGAGATCTCCAGACGTGTGATAAGCGACATCTTCCTCGAGGGATTTCTTGTAGCGAGCTTGGTAAGCTTGCTTCACCTTGAAAAGCTCGAAGGCCGACCTCGTGCAAGCGATTTCCACTAGGACCCAGTTGTTCGAAGTGAACATCTTGGTAGCTTCCTTGGCTAGATACGCATCTCTCTCTGCCGAGTCGAGTGTCCAAAGCAGCACGGCTCTCTGTTGAAACGCCGAAAACAGTTTTTTCCGACCACTAGACATTGTCAAAGAAGATCCAGACAGAGAGAACAGGACAAAAGAAAGGCAGCCTGTTCTTTAAAAAAAAACAAAACAGAAACAGACCTCGAAGTCACTGGAGAGCTCTTTGTCCAGAGCCTTGAGGAGATCCTCGTTGTAGGTCTCGGCATAAGCCTTGCGGATGGCTGTTCGTTGAGCAGCATTTCTGTGAGCCAGAATTGATATGATCAGTGCCTCGTTGGTGCCCCAACCTGCAGACAAGAACGACAAGGATGTTCCATTATATGTCCGAAAACATGAGATCCAACACAACATCCAACATCCTGGGGACAAAAAGACTAACAAATTCATCTAAAAACAGTCAATTCAGGTGAAAAATTCGATCTTGATCGCATAGGAAGAATAGGGTTTTTATACAAAAAGAA